TGTGCCATGACACAATTACCAGGCAGACTCAGGGCACCTCCCTGTAGACCCAGAACTGTAACAGGAGGATGTTGGGCTGTCTGGCTGATGCCTCGCTGATTCGTATGTTCAGTCAGCTTCCCCTGTCCACTCACCAGAATGAGCAGGACCTCATGAAACCAGCTATTGCGCTCTGGGCAGCCAGATAAGCAGGTCTTAACTCCCTGTCATTTGTGATGCAACAGATAGCTCTGAATTGGTTAAACACCCAGGACTTAAACCAGCACTGAAAATACATGTAAGCACGTGCTGGGTTCTCACTTGGGATTGCTCTGAGCCGTCCTGTCTAACTTTGATTTGAAGGGAGACAGAACAGATTACCCACATCTAGGTTAAATGTGGGTCACATGGGAGGACATCGTATCCATGGGGAGGGATGAGCCAAGCTCCAGCTGCCTGCTCCCAGGCTGAGGGCCCTTGAGCAGTGGAGTCCGGAGCATTGACTGCCGACCACACCAAGCTCTCTTCCTCTTCCCTCTGCCCTGCATGCCCTTTCAAGGGAGCTCAGCAAAAATCCTGGGGAGGGCGCACACAGAGGAGTACAAAAGTGCTTTGTGCACAGGAACCTTTGCAGCTGTCCTCTCCCTGGCCCAAAAGTGGGCTTTTGAAACCATGTTACTATAATTACCGCTTTCTTGTACGTTTGAAATTACATCAACACTTAAAAATCTAGCTCACAGGCAGAAGGTAAAACTTCAAGCAAATGCTTTGCCAAAAATGTCTTTGTTGACACAACAGGGCAAGTGTGTCAAAACAAAGACTCTTCTAACAGTTGCAACATGGAAGGGCGGGCTTCCTTTCAGCAGGACTGGATTCGTGAGGGGCTGGGCCCTCATTTACTTAGACTCCCTGCAGGGACCAGCACAGTTCTTTCCCCAGCATGGGTCCCCAATAGGGCTTCAGCTCTCCACTAGTCAGCCTCTCCTCCTCTAGATAGGTCTGCTCTGCCCCTGGTGCATTCCCTGAAGGGCTTGGCCCTGGACCTGTGGTATCAAGAAATCTTTACTCCCAATCACGCTGCAGACCTACACAAAAAAATTCCCCTGGGCCCTCTAGAAAACACTGGAGTTTTGTTCAGGGCAAATTAAGCCCAGAGACTGAGATTCTTTGCCAATAGTTTATTTGACACAGACTCATTACAGGAATTATAATACTATTTCACAAGCCAGTAGCATACAAGACAATGCCTCTTAATAAGCCAATAAAGAACGCACTCCACACCAATGATAGATTAATTACACTATTGTTCCGGGCAAAGGGGAGGTGGAAGAAATAAAGTCCAAATTTCATTGAGGTGTACCTTTCTACAAGCTGGTTCTCCGTGGACTTGTCCTTCCAGTTAAAAACTGGGTATCAATGGAATACTACATGGCAATGAGAAACAGTGAAATCTGGCCATGTGTAGCAACATGGATGGACCTTGAGGGTGTTATGCTGAGCGAAATAAGTCAGGCAGAGAAGGACAAATACCACATGTTTGCACATATAGGAGGATTAGGAGGAACTTGACGGAGGAACAAGGGGGAGAAGAAGGGGGGAAATGGTGGGGGAAAGGGAGAGAGGCAAACCATGAGAGACTCTTGAATGCTGACAAAAACTGAGGACTGATGGATGTGGGGGGGAGGGGGGATGGGCATGGAGGAGGGCACTTGTGGGGATGAGCACTGGGTGTTATGTGGAAACTAATTTGACAATAAACTATTTGTAAAAAAAAAAAAAAAAAAGCTGGGTATCAGCTGCCAGCTTAGGTCCCTCACTGCTGGGGTGTGTAGCTGGTGGGAGATGGCACCGTCGCTGGAAGGCAAGGTGCGGGGGGGCTGTCCAAATGATTATTACTCCAGCGACTGTTACACAGCTCATGCTACGGCCTATGAGGAACAGACTCGCCAGGGTGGGAACAGATGTCCTGCCTTCCTGAGATTGTTGCGTGGTTCAACAGCACTACTGACCAGGAATACTCTGACCACGCCAGGAGCAAGTGTCACAAGATCTTTGGAGAGCTGATCAGATCAGCAAAAAGTATTCTCATCAAGACCAAACACTCTCAAATAGCTGGTCAACCTCTTAGCTTTTGCAGTTTAAAAAAATTTTTTGTAACATTTATTTATTTTTGAGAGACATAGCATTAGCGGGGGAGGGGCAGAGAGAGAGACTGAGAGCTAGAGAATCTGAAGCAGGCTCCAGGCTCTGAGCTGTTTGTCAGCACAGAGCCTGACATGGGGCTTGAACTTACAAACCATGACATCATGACCCGAGCTGAAGCTGGATGCTCAACCAACTGGCCACCCAGGTGCCCTGGCTTTTGTAGTTTAAAAGTTCCTTGAGGGATGGGGCGCCTGGGTGGCTTAGTTGGTTAAGCGTCCGACTTTTGCTTAGGTCATGATCTCGCGGTTCGTGGGTTCGAGCCCCGCGTCGGGCTCTGTGCTGACTGCCAGCTCAGAGCCTGGAGCCTGTTTCAGAGTCTGTGACTCCCTCTCTCTCTGACCCTCCCCTGCTCACGCTGTCTCTCTCTCTCTCTCTCCTAGAAATAAATAAAACATTAAAAAAAAAAAGTTCCTTGAGGGATGGATGCCACAGCTGTTACTCTGGTGTCAATAGCATAATGGTCCCTCCCACTCCAGAGTTTGAATGTGATTTTGAATGAGCGTTTAAGAACAAAGTCCTAGTATCCAATCTCAAATAATTTCATGAAAACAAGTGACTCCAAACAAGTTCAAACCACAAACAACTTTGTCCATAACAAGCTTTCAAAACATGGAGTTGAAATCATAACACATCTGTACATAGCGAATTGCTTTCATATTGAGTTACACCACAGAGATTTACTATCAATAAAGGATGGACTGGCTTCAGTCTGTCAGATAGTGGGCATGCACTAGGGATGAACACAGGAGCTGACAGAAATCAGGGTCGCTGATGTCAAGTCCTCCCATGGGGCTTAGTGTCATGGCAGACATTTGGTACCAGACGACTTAGCTCTAGAGGTATAGATGTAGTCACTGGCTGACCCCAGATGGGAATGATCTGTCCAAGGCTGGGCAAATCCCCATTAGGTCCAGCAAACTCCTGGTAGGCAATCTTCATCATCTGCTTCAGGATATTTTATAGACCGCAAGGCAAGCACAAGGTGGGGGATGATAATCAGAAGACATGGTTCTAACATTTGCCAAGTCATGATGAGCAAGTGTATCTATTTGCCAACCTATCCTACAGGGGCCTGAGGCAAGATGATCTCTAGGACCCGAGCTGGAGAGGCCCCATCTGTCTTCCATGTAGCATTCCAATGACCCCACACAATCAGAAAGCTTTGCTGCTTGAAACAGGAATTATCCAGTTGGGGGGGGGGGGGGGAGTTGCAGAAGGAAATTTCAGGATGTGATTATTCTGTCCCCGCTACCCTCAAGCCCGATAGCCCCACTGCTCGCCTTCTCAGGAAGCAAATGATGGATAATCTGAGAACCAAGTCAGGGCCTGCCTGCCTGCCTGCCTTCCTTCCTTCCTTCCTTCCTTTTTTCCTTTCCTTTCTCTCTCTCTCTCTCTCTCTTCCTCCCTCCCTTCCTTCTTTCTTTTTTAATGTTTTTATTTATTTCTGAGAGAGAGAGAGAGAGAGAGACAGATGAGCGGGGGAGGGTCAGAGAGAGGGAGACAGAATCTGAAGCAGGCTCCAGGCTCTGAGCTAGCTGTCAGCACAGAGCCCGATGCGGGGCTCGAACCCACGAACCGTGAGATCATGACCTGAGCCGCAGTTGGATGCCCAACCGATTGAGCCACCCAGGTGCCCCAGAGCCTCCTTTCTTAAGCTGACTCTGGTGGCCCAATCCTAGGCTGCAACTCTTCACTTCCTAGATCAATAGCTCAGTGCACAGGTCTTCAAGTCCTCAGTGAATGGGTCTCAGCCCTGAACTTGTCCTGCTAGCCCTGGTGACCACTTTCTCGGCCACCACTGCCCATGGCCATCTTTTCACAAACATCCCCAGATCTTTCCACAAGAACTCCAATTTATTCAAAAAGCACGTTTCTCCCCTCCAAGTGGAATTTGTTAACTGGAACTCAATTCATATTGACTGTTTTAGTTCTTCATGAAAATCATCCAAAATTACACACCTTGCCCCAGGGATGGGTCTAGGTTTTGTTGGACGTAATCTAGGTAATATAAAAGTAGGCACAGGGCCACAGAGCGGCATGCAAGTGAGAGGCCCTGAGGCTGAAGCTTCATTAGCTTGGTGGTGAATACACCTTTGACTTTATTTGGAGAACTGAATTCCAGTGGGAACACTGTGCTTTCTCCGCAGCAAGAGGATCTATCCCTTACAATGGTCTATAGCTTATAAGCAACACAACATGAGGAAGAAAATAGGCACTAGGGACAGAAAGCTCTGGGTTCTAAGACCTGGCTCTTGGATCTTAAGCATAAAGTTATCTAACCTCACTGGGCTTCAGGTCCCCCAAAACAGAGGTAATGGTGCATTTTTTAAACATGTGCTTCTGAGGGTTACAGAGATGGCTTTAGTAAAACCTAACACACGTAACACACATAAAACTATGCCACACTGGTCACTCAGTGACTGACCCAACACTTTTCATTAGAATTTGTGTACTTGATTGAAATCTACCTCCTACAAGGCACATTAGTTATTAACCTGACAAACAACGGACACAGAGCGTGCAACGATATATTCAAAGGTAGTATAAATGTGTAAAAACAAGATGCAAAATAGAACCGCACTTCGCCTGTGCCAGGGGCTAACCATTATTTTTCTGCACCGCTGAGCTGAAGGGATGCGGTGTAATTCACATGGCAACAATGGCTCAATGCAGCAGCTCGAGACGAGGAGCATATGAACAATTTGCAAAGCTCTCAGGTATTTTTTGCTTCTTCGTGATAGATTCTTCTCCAACCTATATCCCAACCCCCATAATCCACCCCCAGTCCCACCTGAGAATCACACTCTTTACAAGAATTAAGGCAAATACTGAGTTTATTCAGTTGATTTGGCCAATCAAACTGGATAAAAGTGCCGGTTTCATTTGCATGATGTAAAAACATACTTTAGATAGGAATACTCGCATAGTTACAATGTTAAAAATATGTGTATATGTAAGAAAGAGTCATGAAAGCATTTGATATAAAACATACACAGTATGCTATTTTAATATACAAATGCTTACAACAAAGTGGTCAGAAGAGTTACAAAAGTAGCGTCATTAAGAATTTAGAAAAGTTTCCATTTTCCTGAAAGGTCATGTTCTCATCCTTTGGGATGTACAGAAATTATGTGGTTTAACACAGTTTTATCCACATTTAAAACCTCACGTTTTAAATGTTTTAAGCATAGCATATACAGTACAAAATGTTTCCATAGGAACATAACAGAACCTGTCACTAGTGGCTGCTGTCAGATGGCTCCTAAGTAATGAGCCATTTTTAAGACACTAGTTCAGCTTATTGCTAGAATATTCAAGTTGTTCTATTCACCCAAAATATAATGACTTTAATTTATACTAGAATCTACCTACAAGGCTTGAGGAGTTATAATATACACCCATATATACAAAACAACTATTCTGAGTTAAATGAAGTTCCCAAAGTTAAATCAGAACCAAGAATAGTAATTTCAGGCTAACACATTATCCTTGTGGTCAGTATTTTGTAAATTGTGAACAAAGTGCACAGTGAATGTGATCAGTCACTAGAAAGGATCCTTCCATGAACCCTCTGTCCCCTCCGAGTCACACCACCTGAGAAATGAGAACCTTTAGACTTGGTGGCCAGCAGGGCAGCTTCACACATCAAACCCACGGGAGCCATGTGGAGACCCATTCACGAGTCATGGGAGCCCACATCACCAGCTAACAAATGGCACAGTTGACTATCCAGAGCCCCAGTGTAGACATAGCAGAACCAGCTTTCCAGACCACTGCTGAGTCTTAATTATTTAGAGCAAATGAGAGCATCCATCAGCCATATTCTAGTGTGGGCGGACCCCGTACAAGGTTGAAATAGCCAGCCAGGGCCCCAAGGTCTATGTAGAGGGAACGCTGTCTCTTCAGCATCTCCGATTCCTCAGTGCTTGCTGTGCATGAAGAATCTGAAAAGGAAAACATTGAAAAAATAAATAAATAAATGATCAGGTGACATGTTCAATAATAAATACCTGTTCCCTTGGGCGGTGGGGTGTGTGGAGGGGAAATCTTTGGCCCTAATGGAATAAGCATTCAAGCTATGGTTTTATTAAAAAGCTACAGAGGTGCCTGGGTGGCTCAGTTGGTTGAGCATCTGACTTTGGCTCAGGTCATGATCTTATGGTTTTTGAGTTCGAGCCCCGCATAGGGCTCTGCACTGACAGCTCAGAGCCTGGAGCCTGCTTTGGATTCTGTCTCCCTGTCTCTCTGCCCTTCTCCAGCTCGCACTTTGTCTCTCTCCCTCTCTCTCAAAAATAAACATTAAAAACTTTTTTAATAAAATAAATAAGATAAAAAGCTACATACATAGAGTTGAACATTATGGGCTAATTTCTATAATATAACATAGACAAAAGGGTTCAAAAAAGAGTCACTGATGACAAGAAATTAGCTAAAAATTCTGGCATATTTTCTAATGCCCCAGATGGTTCTCTTTAAATATAGTAAAGTCAGACAAGAAGACAATGAAATGCAAATAAACATTCCAGGCTTGACATCTGGGTTTGGACCTAAATGGATTAAGAATGCCACAGATTTTAATAATAAAAATAGAAACGTTCTCGGTGCATATTCAATGTTCTTGGAATGTGTGCTGACTTTCCTAAGTGGGAAAGACTCAGAGCTGGCAAGGAGACTTTAAGCGGAGGAAGACAAACATGCAAGTTGACTTCAAACTCAATATTTTATCTTGATGCTTCCAACCAAGGACTGGTGTGGCTTTACCGTACCTGAATTAAATAGAACCCTATTCAGAACCAACAGCAAAACTGCCAAGCTTGATCTGTTTTTAAAGGCAAATGATACTCCCTGTTGCAAAAAACCAAGCCAGGGGCAGTTCTCAAGAACTGTTACTACCTACGTTTGTACTGAAACATGCCATGATTTGCCGGTCAATTAGCCAATTTTTTTGGTAATGCTTTTGCTAAATTTCTTGCTTAAATTTCTCAAACGACTTATGGTGCTTGAGAGGTCACTCCAGTTTTTTTTTCAAGTGCTTTCGTGAACTACATCACAAGTCTGATGCAGACAGAGAAAGAAGGGAAGCAGGGGGGCAGAGGGTGGGATCACGCACAAGACGGTGTCCATACCAGCAATGTTTTCTGGAAGTTCCAACTCCTTCCTACTCAGCAGCCTCTTCCGCTCAAAGAGGGCGGAGTCCAGACTCTGACAGCGTGGCTGATCCTCTCTGGGGGGGTTCAGGGCATCGTGTTTTAATAGGTCTGCTGCCCGTGGGCGGTGATTGGGGTTCCTCTCCAAGGCGGCCTCTATCAGCTCCCTCATGCCCGGACTGCAATCATCTGCAATATCTTCCAGCGGGGGCGCCTGCTTGTGGATCTGGCAACAAACCAGCTCTCTTAGCACCAGCGTACGAAAATATACCCTCAACAGAAAAAGTGTTCTAGGCATTCTAGTTAACAAGACCTGGAGAGTCATTCTGCCTCCTACTACACACTCCCTGGCAAACACAGTCTTATCCTTAACCAAGTTAATTTCTTAAGAACCCCGAATTAAACACATCCTGTGAGTTAATGATGTTCAAGGATCACCGTGCCCTAACAGGGAAGTATCTGCTCTCTCTCTCTCTCGATGGTAAAATCGAAGTTGTATGGTTCACTATGTGCCAGAATGGCCTGGTGATTAATTACATCTCTTTTTTGAAAGTGTTCAAAGAACATACACAACTTCTTTGGCTCAGATATTTATGCCAGTTAGATGCTACTAAGTGGCACTGTAGGATACACATACACAAGAACAGCATATAATTGATGCTCAGTGCACATTTTAGTAAACTCTCACTATAAGAGCAATGCCTTCTTTACAGGAATGGGACTTTCCTCCACATGGGAAAATGTTCAGTTCTGTCTCATGGGTCACCAGTTCACAGCTTCCCCCTCAGGTGTGTTTCTACCTCCCGTGAGCAGGTAGAACTCTCCTTCACCCTCAGTCTTGGCTGACCCTCTACTTACTATGTACAGGTAGGAGGGATAGGCGGAGCGAGGATAGCGCTTCACCCAGGGCGGGGTGCCCGTCTGCATGTGGATGAGCGTGGCCCCCAGGCTGTAGATGTCTGCTTTGGTTGAATGGCCTCTGCATAGGATCACCTCTGGGCTCATATAAATCTAAAAAAGAAGCAGAAAACATCAGTCTGACTGCCCCCATTGGTCTGGGTGTCCATTTCCCTAAGTCAGTTCTGGAAGCTGGTTCTCCAACTTTACCATATTTATCGCACGCTTCAGCCCTTCAGAAGAGCATGTCACTGCTGTGTTCCCTGTAGCTAGGGAGAGTGACACAGACACACTCTGGGAGCCAGCAATATGTCCTGAGATGTCCCTGCAGCCTACTGAAGAGCACTGTTTTTCTGCATACTGAACACGAGGCAGCCAAGGACCCACCTGGGACACCACTCGCCAAGGTTCTGGAAGGCATCAACCAAGATTTAATTTTTCTTTTAAAACACCAACTCCTTGCATATCTAAATGGACACTACAAATCCACTTCTTCACTCCATGTTTGTCATTAAACTGCCAAACTTCTAATGATCTGCAGTAATGAAAGGTGGCAGGAATCCCTGGGGTATTAACACCAATCACACGGGAGAGAAGAACTTAAAACAATATGTGATGTTGTAAAAGTGGTCCTGTCATTAATATGTACTACTACTTCTTTTTTTTTTTAATATTTATTTATTTTTTAGAGAGAGAGAGAGAGAAAGACTGACACACAGAATCGGAAGCAGGCTCCAGGTTCTGAGCTGTCAGCACAGAGCCCGATGTAGGGCTCGAACCCACAAATGGAGAGATCATGATCTGAGCCAAAGTCAGGCGCTTAACCAACTAAGCCACCCAGGTGCCCCTACATCAACTACTTCTTATTTCTACCTACCATGTAGCTGGTAACTAAATACTAAAGTCATGACATTTTATCATTGTATAAGTTCTATTCGGTTTCATGTTGGAAAAACAGGGCTATTTTCAGAAATAGTTTTTCTAAGAACTGTTTACTTCTAACCTTAAAAAAGAAAGAGCAAATACTGGTAGCCAATGATCCCTATTTATGGCTGGTAGAGACATATAGTAGTTAATATCTTAACTGTCCATACTTAGCGTTAAGAAATTTTTATGCTGGGGCATAAATTTTTATGCTGGGGTGGCTCAGTCAGTTAAGCATCTGACTTCAGCTCAGGTCATGATCTCACAGTTTGTGAGTTCGAGCCCCACATCAGGCTCTGTGCTGACAGCTCAGAGCCTGCTCAAAAATAAACATTAAAAAAAGCAAATTTTTATGCTGTCCATCATTTGAATATGGAAAAAGGGCTAAGTGTTCCTGGAATATATTTCAGAGTCAATAAGTAAAACAACTGACTTACAAAAACTGGGGAAATTTCCCAGTTTCCCCATCCTAACCATATTGAACAGTATCCCTACAACACACTTCCTGGCAGGCTTTTCTTCCCTTGCTCATTCTGTCTGTCTGTCTCACCAAACAGGCTGCATGGAGCTCCTTGTCCTCAAACATTTCCTAAAGTGAAGGCAGAGCCTTTGCACAGCAACAGACTTTCCTACTAAGTATCACAAAGGGAAACAATACATGCAGCATGCAGCAGGAAGGATCAGCTGTTGATAGGAGACTCTCATCTCCTGCCTGCTGGCTTGCTCTCCTTTTATATGTATATACATAAACATATATACTTTTTAATTTTTTTTATTTATTTTTGAGAGAGATAGAGACAGCATGAGCAGGGGAGGGTCAGAGAGAGAGGGAGACACAGACTCCAAAGCAGGCTCCAGGCTCCAAGCTGTCAGCACACAGCCCGACGTGGGGCTCAAACCCACGAACTGTGAGATCATGACCTGAGCTGAAGCCGAATGCTCAACCGACTGACCCACCCAGGCACCCCTAGCCTGCTCTCCTAAGCAAAGATCAGGCCAAGTATGTTCTGTCGGCGTGGGCAACGTCAACTCTGGAGGCTGTCGGTGGTGACTGCACATTTGGGGATGCAGCATCCTGTCCACCTGGTGACCCGGCTGCTGCCTGTCCCGGGTAGGTCCCCCAGAGTTCCTTGGCTCAGAGCTCCTGCTTTCTCAAGTTCGACAAGAGCCAGAGTGCCAGGGCACGGCGTTTGAGAACACTTCAAGCTGGCTGACTACAAGCATGAAACAGGCCTGGGGGGGATCCACGGAAGGCTCTCGGAGACCTGCACTCCCTCAGGCCTGGGCACTAGAGCAAGGGAACCTGTAGGCTGGAGGTCAAGGCTTCACCTCTCAATGTATTAGAAACAGAAAGAGGCTCTGTGTGTGTGTGTGTGTGTGTGTGTGTGTGTGTGTGTGTGATGATTAACACATTAATTGCTATAAAGTAAGACTAAACACAGACTCGGGAAGAAATAAGAACTTTTAAAAAAGAATCTCAACTATAAAAGTACTTCTAATTAACTATTTACATTCATTATTTATTCTGTCTCTCTACCATGTAATTACAAAACAATAGATTGACTATATGCCAGATTAGCCCTGTCCTGAATATGAATGCTGGGAGAGAGATCAAACACAGGTGACCAGTGTTTGCCCTCCTGAGTTACATAGCAGGGATCAGAAATCATCTCTGGCTATGCAGTAGCCAAGTGATCAAGTCCCTTTTTAAAAAAAAAAATTTTTAATGTTTGAGAGAGAGAGAGAGAGAGAGAGAGAGAGAGAGAGACTGAGCATGAGTGGGGGAGGGGCAGGGAGACAGGGAGACACAGAATCCAAAGTGCAGACCCCAGGCTCTGAGCTGTTAGCACAGAGCCCAACATGAGGCTCAAACCCACAAACCATGAGATCATGACCTGAACTAAAGTCAGGACGTTTAATCAACTGAGGCCCCCAGGCGTCCCGCAAGTGATCAAGTTCTAATGAAAAGTGCCTCTGCTCAGTTGACTTTGACGAACGACATCTTATTGGTTCTTTAAAGATGAAGAGTCTTGCTAAAAGCTTTTAATGGTGACTTTACCACCTTGCTCATTATCAAATTTTGATTTGTGAGTACCATGCAGAGACAGTAAATGCAGGATGATTTGAAGAAAGTGGGTAACTCTCGACATCAAATTCAGTTGAGCACTTTGTAAAAAGCAATTTACATTTGCTGAAAATAACTCAATCCAAATACTTTTTAGGAGTAAACGCTATGCCATTATCTCACGTCCAAGCACACAATCTCTGTCTGCTGGAGAATCCCAAAGAAGACATATCTTTCTGTAGCCATTGCAAAATGTTCAATATGATCACACTGCCGGGAAGAGAAAGGTATTTTCTATCTATAATACCATAAATAGTTTGTTTCTCAAACTGGCTCCAGGAAAAAGGGTAGAATGTCACGTATCTGAACTTCTGACTAATGCCAAAATATGCTGAAACACTTCCCAAAAAAAATATGTCGTAAGCATGAAGTCTTAATTAGATTTTGTGCTCTGGTGAAGTGTTCTTAAGATCTGGAGACTAAAATGTTCTTTTAAAGAAGTTTACAGTTTTCTTTTCTAAATATTAATCTCCTCAAGGACAACTGATCTAGGATCCTTTCTCAAGTATTTTCCAGAATAACGTAAGTAATATCAGCAATTTTTCTGCTGCCCAGGAGAGTCTTTGCTTTGAGAGAGTCAAGGAAAAGCTCACACAATCTTGGTTTAAGATGAAGACTGTTTGCTTTGTTTTACACTGCATTTGCTGGGGACACTTTCAGCAGGGAGAGGGCCTCGGCTGGGAGGCTCTGATAGTTAAGCACCCTACAGTGGTGGACATGAACCAGGGAGGTAGCTTCCATACCCATTCACCTTCCCATTTGCATCCAACCCCATGCCCATCATAACCTCCTATGAGCTAAACTGTTGCTTTTCGAAGAATCCGGGTAAATTTAAAATAGGTTCTTTCACCAAAGAGTGGGGGCTGCTGAAATACCCCCAAAGGCATGGTAACCTGTTGGTCTTGTCCAGTGCTCCATCCCTGATACCCACACAGCCTGACACATTCCGATGCTCAATAGACACTTGCTACGTGAATCAATATTCAGCCTAATCATGTGTATATTAAATTAAATATATTCTCTGAAAGCGCATGCATGCATCTCATTTACATTCAGAAAAGGTTTTGGTTTGGTTTTGGTTTTGCTTCACCAATGACTTAAATATTATAGCTAGTTTATATCTTCAACTACAATTTATTTGTGCTATAATAAATTTGAGATTTATTACAGGTTCTCTAGAATTAAAGGTAAACCTAAGATGTGGTTGGTCCTCAATATATGTTATTAATAACCATGACAATTATGGGTATACATGAACCAAAACAATAATACGAGTTATACTAAGAATATATATTAGTTATAGTAAAAAGTGACTATATTTAAGCTCTGAAAAAAGACTGGTTTAAGTACCAGATCTCTCGCTGAGTAACTTTGGGCACTTAATTTTAACCCCTTGAAGCACATTCCCTTACTGTAAAATGGAAATCCTAATAGTGTTTGTCGTCGAGAACAATATTTACCAATAATAGGGTTGATATAAGGATTAAATAATATAATTCATTTAAAATGCTAAAATTGGTGCTTGGCACAGAGCAAGTGTTCACTAAATATGCTCCAATGATAATCCTATTTGATGCAATGGTTTTCCTCCCCTTTTCAGTCCTTTCTGCAAGAACAGTCTAGAACATTTTTAATTTTTGCTCTTAAAAAGACATCGACCATTCCCAGAGGAATAAAATTACCTCTGTTCCACGGAGGTCCTTAGGAAAATAGATATCTTCAGTCATTTGAACACTTAGGCCAAAATCCACCAAAACGGCTTTTGTGGACATGAAAACAATGTTGCTAGCTATAAAAAAAAGATTTTTTTTTAGTATCAAGTTGTCTATATACCCATAAATACAATAAAAACACCATCCAAAACAGTGAGTCCCAAATTAGGATAGACCAAAACGTACACCCTACCAAGATGGTTGTATTATATTCACAAGAGGAGGATAAATCTGGGTGAGAATTTAAGTGAAAATCACTTCAGATACGGCAAGAAAGCAGTCAGTGTGGGTGTAATGGTTGCACACACTAATAATGCTCAACATGGCCAAGTCAGGGAAACAATTTAAGGGTATATGACAGATGCGTAGATAAAGAAAATATGATATGTGTGTATATGCATATATAATAGAATGCTACTCGGCCATAAAAAAGAATGAAATCCTGTCCTTTACAACATGGATGAAATAAATCAGACAGAGAAAGATGAAAACTGTATGAATCTCACTAGTATGTGCAACATAAGACAACTAAACTCATAGAAACAGAGAACAGATGTTGATGGCCAGAGGCTTGGGGAAATGGGTGAAGGTGGTCGAAGCGGACACTTGCAGTGATCAGATGAACAAGTTTTAGGGGACATAATATACACCGTGGGGACTATAGTTAATAATACTGTATTACATATTTAAAAGTTGCTGAGAAAGTCAATTAAAAATGTATTCTATTTTATTTTTTTAGAGAGAGAGACAGAGTGCAAGTCGGGGAGGGGCAGAGAGAGAGGGAGTGACGAATGTGAAACAGGCTTCAGGCTCTGAGCTGTCAGCACAGTCTGATGCAGGCTTGAACCCACAAACTGCAAGATCATGACCTGAGCCAGTTGGACGCTTAACTGACAGAGCCACCCAGGCGCCCTGAAAGAGTCAATTTTAAAAGTTCTCACCACACACACACACAATTACAACTCTGTGAGATCCTGGATGTGTTAACTAACCTCATTGTGGTAATCATTTTGCAATATATACATACATCAAATCATTACATCACATACCTTAAACTTACACAATGTTATATGTCAATTAGATCTCAATAAGGCTGGAAAAATATAACAATGCTTATGAGCTTGGCTTTCAAACTCTAAGATATAAGCATATTATTATGCCACTTTCCTAAAATGAAAACGTAAAATACACATTTTTTTTAAAGTAAAAGTTTCATTCGTGCGATTTAGCATCAAATATTTAGGGTTTATAGTGGGTCTTTGTGGTATTTCCCACCATCTCTTACCCCTATAAATCAATCAGTGAAGGCCTGTTTAATGAACTATTAGCAAAATAGTGTTCAAAATTAAAAGGCTATTTGTTTCCCAAGAATGATTCGACTCTGTGTGTGTCTTAAAGTAAATTACTGTTTTTGAAAGCCTTATTAACAAGGGTATAGCCAGGACGTGTGACTATAATCCTCCACAACTGGATAATCCTCCTTATGATTTTGAAAGCTTTAGTGACCCCGTTTGATTCTAAAACATGTTTCAGGAAGGGAGGATGGTGAAAAGTGCTCCAGGGCATAGGTCCTCCCCTCCACCAAGGATTTTCACGTTAAAGACAGGAGTCCATTTGCCTCCTATCTAACCCATCTCTCTGAGCCAAAAAGGTCCATATCCAAAGATAACTCACGTTTAATATCATGATGAATCACTTTCTTTGAGTGGAGAAAATCGAGTCCCTTGAGAACATGCTTTGTCACCCAAATAATTTCAAATTCTCTCATTGGTCCACAGCTCTCCAGTTTCTCTAGGACCGACCCTCCCTCGCCTGCCTCCATGAAGAGGTGCACGGTTTCGCCCCATAGCACTGCACCATATAACTCGGCGATGTTCTCATGTCGGAAGCAAGCCTGGATTTCCACATCGGATGGCTTAAATTGATCTACTGGGATCTAGAACAGAGAAAGACCAGGAAGATACTAAACAACCCAGGATAGTGAAAAACTATAAATAATACAGGTCAACCCAGAAACCAGAAGGCAAACAAATGCAACCAAGGATATCTCAAGGATCTGCATGAAATTATACTGCCCGGTTCAAATAATGTTGACATCAAACCCGCTTTTACACTGTGTCAGCTCTAGGTAAGTAATTCACAATAAGAAAATAACAAAATAGAAAGTATTATTTTCATTTAAAATGTAGTAATCCAATGAAAGAATTATTGATGGTTGAATCAAAAGAGAGATAATTTCCCATTCATTTTACATATACTTTCCCTGGCACCTAGATTTTAGGCTATCATATCAATATTTCAATTCTCATGAAATAATAGAATGTCTTCGGATCCACAACTCAGGCTCTAATAATGCCTTTAAAATAAGCACTGGCCAGCTATTCTATGGAAAATCAAAAGTCACTAATAAAGAAAGCAGTAGATCTTTCAGTGCAGATAGATATGGAATGTCTCCAAAATACCGTGTTAGACGAAGAAAGCAAGATGCAAACATATATTATGCTCCTAGTTGTAAAAAACTTTTAAGCTATATACACACATGTCTGCAGACATTTTCTGGAAAGACACAGAGGAACTCATTAACAGCAATTGCCTCAAGGAAAAGGATCTCATTCTTCAATCTACATTCTTTTGAATCTGCTAGGGGTTGTTAATCATTCTATATATTTTTAAGAAAAAAAATACAGCTTAAAAATTAAATGTAAGTACTCTGAGGAAAACAAAGATATTTTCTCATGCCTTTTCTGATGAAACTGTAGAACAGGACACTTTGGCTCTAAGCTCTTTCTAAAATGTCCCCAGATTCTTTTAAGAGAACTGAGACACGTCTCCTCTAAACACAAGCTTCAAATGGCTTGCGATAATACCTCCTTTTTTTCCTTTGATAACAGATCCTCTAGCAAATCTCTATGAAGGAATAAACGAGGCCAATATTTTGGTGATCTTTTAATTCCAATAAGACAGACTAAGGCCAAATTCAGCAAATCAAAAGTGATTTCAATTTACTGCACTTCTAAAAACATTTTGAAGTAAAACAGACATACAAAAACGAGTAAAACTGGGTTATGTATCAAATTCAGTGACTTTTCAACTGAACACACCCATGTAACCACCACCTAGACCAAGAAACAAAACTCTAGCAGCACACCAGGAATCCCTTTTCTTCTACCAGCCACTGCCTCCCAAGGGTACCCACTATCCTGACTTCCAAAAGCACGGACCTATTTAGCCTATTTTGGGACTTTATAGAAGTGGAATCTCATAGAGCAGATCCTACTTGGGTGTCTGGCTGTTTTGGCTTAACGTGTGTTTGTGAGACTCATCTACATTATTACAGTTGCAAATCATGTGTTCTCTTCACTGTACAAGCATCCCATTGTATAAACAGACCACACTGCAGCATCTAGAAACTTTCCAGTTTGGGACTATTACAAATAGTGCTCTGATGAACACTCTAACTCTAGTACACAGCTTTTGGTGACCATGTGTACATGCCTATGGGGTGTGTACCTATAGGAGCAGAATTGCTGGGTCATGGGGTGTGTACATGCCCAGCTTAGGCAGATACATGTCCAAGGCAGGGGTACCTCAGCAAAAACTGTTTAATAAGAAGAGATGGGGTCTTTACAATAATTGGCCTATTTAAATTCTGCCCTTTATTTTTTATTTTAATATTTCAGTATTTATTTTTAAGAGAGAGACAGAGACAGAACATTGGTGGGAGGGGCAGAATGAGAGGGAGACAGAATCTGAAGCAGGCTCCAGGCTCTGAGCTGTCAGCACAGAGCCCAATGCAGGGCTCGAACTGATGAACTATGAGATCATGACCTGACACCAAGTCAGACGCTTAAGCGACTGAGCCACCCAAGTGCTCCTAAATTCAGCCCTTTAATCTTCGGTCTTGAGAAGCCTCACAGTTTGCCCAGCTTCTGCCTCCCTGCCTGGCACCTTCCCCAGTGGGTGAGATTAAAGAAGCAGCACACGGATTTGCTCCTGGGGGATAGCTCCCCTCCACCCTACCACAAGAGGGATGATGAAATCCAAGCCGGGTACACAAGCCAGCAGCATTTTCTTTTTTATCAAGGCAAACTGGACTAAAACCAACTATGTGCACTGAAGCAGATTTTGAGGCCTGAAAAGCCACAGGGTAGCAAGCAAATCCAAAAAAAAAAAGAAGAAGAAAAAAGGGGGGAGGGGAGAAAAAGAAAGAAAAAAGAAAAGGAAAAAAGGAAGAGAAAGAGAAAGACAAAGAAAAAAGAAAAAGAGAAAGAGAAGGAAGAAGGAAAAAGGAAAAAGGAGAAGAAGAAGAAAAAGGGAAAGGGAAAGAAAAAGAAAAAGGTGCTTTTGGACAGGGCACCCTCACCTGAAATCCAGTCAAATAGTAACAACTTTTGACTAATGCAAACAAGAACCACAATGCCAAACATATGGTGCAGGATGTCTGGTTATAAAGTACATACCAATTTACATGCCATTCTTTTCTTAGTCTTTATATCTTGTGCTAAGTATACTTTTCCAAACGCCCCCCGAGGTATGAAATCAGAGCCAATGTTCCTATAAGTCAGCTTCCAAGGGATGAGGAGAACATCCGAGTCTATTTGATAGCGTCCATTTTGGGGAGTGATTACCTACAATAACAAAAAAAGGTGGGAGGGGGAGAATTTCAGCAAACTCCTTTTCTAAGACACACCCTTCAGAAACTGGTTACTTTAGACGGCATTCCTACACGCAGTGTTCGAAATTAACGTCACTGTTGTGTAATCCTAACAGTGTACACAGACTATATTTAGAACTTCAACATAGACAGAGAAAGCATGTAACAGAAACACGGCCCTGGTCGGACCTGATCGTATTACCACCTACTGGTGAGTAATTAATTGTCAAACAAAACCTTAAAAATTACTTATCGAAGGGAGCATGACTACAGTGACCAAAAGGCTGAAAATAAAGATTGCATAAATATAAATTGTGCCTGCAAGTTGACTTGCTTCCAATTAAAATGTGCTAACCTGTTAGTCCACATAGCGATTACTCACACATGATGCATACAGAGAGAGCGTGGAAATAAACTGGTGATCGTGGAGGATTCTGGAAAATAATGTGGTATGCCAGCACTATGAGTTGACAGTGCTGCATAAAGTAAGGGCAGAATTATCCCTCATCTACTAGCCCATTGACTATTTACTGAGTACATAGTATGTACCAGGCACTGAGTACATAGTATGTACCAGGCACTGTGTACTACAAGAGCATGTGCTGTGTCAAGACTCAACAAACTGGACAATTAAGGAATTGTCTGTATTTTACTGCATATCAAGGATATCTCAATTGTAAAAGAGCAGCAAATGAAAAGGAGAAATAATTATAATTATAATGAAAACAAATTACTAAAAATAGTCCATGGGAGTTATGATCTGGAGCACATGCCTACGATAGGTTTAAAATATTCCTTCAAGGGATAAATGGTCTCAAAACTACAAATTTTGCTCCAATGCAATTAGCAATATTATGACTTCAGTTTACAAATTCAGGAACTATGAAACTGTCAAAGCGACATCAAGTTATTTCAAGTGCAGAAGAGGCCAAAGGGGAACGTGGACCACATGGGAAAAGAATGAACACCTGATTCATCTGCAGATGTCTGGGCCCATCTCAAGGCCACGGCCACGGGAATAGTTCTAATAATCCCAGGGTTATTCATTCCGTCTCCATTACCGCCTATCTTAGCTGTACCCGCCCCCCACCCCCAACAGATGCGTGTGCTATTAGTCAGGGAGCAAAGCAGAGGACAGCTCCAATACTAAGAAATGTGAAGTCACTAAATTTAAAATGAAATATTTCCTGAGCACTCCCCTGAGCCAGTTCCTGCACGAAGTCCCAGCAGGAAATCGAATACCTACTACAGCCCATGGTCTTGCCTCGTTTGAAATATGACCTCCTTTCAAGAAGCATCTCACCTCAAATTACTGGAGGCCTCTTTTTACAGCACGCGATAAATCTAGTCCCTTCCGCATTTAGACAGAACCATACCCATGGCACTCAACTGTTTGTGCTTATTCCCTCTTTCTTGTTATTAAATACTTACGTATCCCGTTTCACCTAGACTCCAGTTATCCACTAAAGGGTTTAATTCACCTTTGTATAAGTTCTACTTTTGTCCAACTAACTTTTTTATAACCCAATCTGATCCAAGGGATGAAGAAGAATAATAGCAGCTATATGTTGGGTGCTAATTAAAAAAATTTTTTTTAATGTTTATTTTTGAGAGAGAGAGAGACAGAGTGCGAGCAGGAGAGGGGCAGAGAGGGAGACACAGAATCTGAAACAGGCTCCAGGCTCCGAACTGTTAGCGCAGAGCCTGATGAGGGGCTCACTGACCGCAAGATCATGACCTGAACCAAAGTTGGATTCTTAACCAACTGAGCAACCCAGGTGCCCCTGCTAGATGTTAATTATAAGCCAGACACTGCTCAGGCCTCATCAAAGGCTCACAACGATCCTGTGACGTAAGTACTATCTTTATCTCCATTTTACAGATGAGGAAACGGGTTTTAAGAGGTTAAGTAGCTCAGTGGGCAATGAGAGAGTCAGAATTCAAACTCAGGTCTGTCTGACCCCAGAGCCTCAGCTCTTGTGTGCCTTGTATCTGCCAGAAGACTGAAATTAAAGCTAACCCATGATCAAACGATGGTTATTAAAAGCCTGCGCTCACAAGTCAGTGAGCACCTTAGCCTTCGCCCCTTTAGATGGAATACCGTGAGTTCCTCCTGCCCCATTTAACAATCTCTCACATTCTGGGGACTCTCCTCCGAGGGCGAGTTCTCCCTTGATGATAAACCCTGAAATATACAGTGTGATACGCAGACGTCAACCAGCCTGTAGCTCTGCAAAGTCCCTGGTTCTTCCCCTTGCCCTAGACTTTCCCTATTTGGGTTTGTAATGTTTTTTGTTCCCTTCTTCTTCTTTTAGGGTCCCTACCAGATCATCTTACGGACCTCCATGCTGTTGTTCACCACTTGCCAGTTCAGCTTACCAAAGCCACCATTACGTGCTGACACAAAGCATGCTTTGGATTTCCTTCTCCAGACCAGTGATGCTCAACAACACTGCGCCCAGCAGCAGGCCTTGAGAAAAATTCTTAAGATATTTTAAGAAGAATAAACTCCATAAGGAGCCTGTATTTATGGCTGCTACAAAACAAATACAACCTGGGGCGCCTGGGTGGTTCAGTCGGTTAAGCATCCTACTTCAGCTCAGGGCATGATGTCACCGCTAGTGGGCTCAAGCCCCGCGTTGGGCTCCGTGCTGACAGCTCAGAGCCTGGAGCCCGCTTCAGATTCTGTGTCTCCCTCGCTCTCTGTCCCTCCCCTACTTGCAGTCTATCTCTCTCTCTGAAAAATGAATAAATGTTTTAAAAAAATTTTAAACAAATACAACCTTAGAAGAGGCATATTATCTAGAACATAGGCAAAGCTGGCTCTTTACTACTCTGCAGGTCTCACAACAAACAGACTGCCACATTCAAGTTCTGGGCTAGAAGATAGGCACTAACCCAGGTTTGAGTTCAGTAGGTGCTGCCCAGATGACAACAACAGTTAATGATCCAGTAAGTGACAAGTAGCAGACACAAGGAGAAGTGTTTGGAACAGAGAAGAGAAGATGTGGGGAACATGAAAGTTTTAAAAAACTGGAAAGACTATTGTAAGGAAGGGGAGTAACTGTTGTGGACGACTACCATAATGGCTGGCATCCTTTCAACACTCACAATACGTAAACAGTGCATCCGTGATTTGTCTCACACAACACCCCCAAAGAGTAAGTGCTATCATGCTGCCCATTTTACAGATGAGTAAACAGAGCCACGGAAGGGTGTAATGACTAGCCCCAAATCACACAACTAAATCCATCTCAGACCTGAAATACATACCCAGGCACTTTCATTCATGGGCCTGTATCCTCACATGACTGAACATATCTACGTTTTATGGCCAAAAAGTAGGACTAAGGCTAAGGGGACTCAGAGATGGATTTTAGTTCTACAGAAGGAAGGGGCTTTCCTACAGTCAGAATTGGCTAAATATGAAATGTAACGCCCTAGTATGTGATCAACTCATCGTCACAGGAGATTTGGCACAGACCAAAATGTTCCAACAATTATTGGATATGATAATCAGGGTGATTCAAGTATCAGACAAAGGGCTTGGCTCAAGTATCTTTAAGGTTTTTATCAGGCCTGAGAAGCCAGGACTCTATGACTAACCCCTGAGGAGCAGCATTCCCATATCTCACACCCACATCTATGAGCGAGCCCTTTGGGCCCTTCAGTGCCCCTATAATCACCCATGAGCTCAGCGTTTGCAACCCATGTTCGGTTATTCATTTCCCACTCAGGTTATGAATTGGTCTGGAGTGTAAATAACTCACAGCACTCTCATACAAAGCAATGCCCAGGTTAGTCTACTGAAGTTTCTTCCCCAAGTCCTGCTGCATGTTAGTGGAATCTTTGCTAAGTATTAGTTTTAGAAAAATAGCACACACTCACATACAACTGCAGACCAACATTTTACATGCCTATGCTGTAATATTTTTGCAATTCCTGATCCTCTGCCCCGTCTAATTAACTCCACCGGCTTTCTGGATGTTGGCTGCCAGAAACACACCATGTCTCTATGCCTCTGGGCTTTTGTATAGGCTATTCTCTTCATCTAGAACCCTCTGCCCTCTCAGTCCCCTTTATCCGGCCGACTCCAACTCAAAAGCTTAAGCATCAATTCCTTTTAGAAGCCTGTCTGACATAGTTTCTTCCCCACCCCCACCCTCATGGCTATGTATGGTGTCCTGTCTGAGCAGCCCCAGAGCAATCAATGTGTAGTTGAAGTGGGAAGTAGCACACTGCATTATAATTGCCTGTTTACTTGTCTCCCACATTCACCAGGCAGCAAGCTACCTGACAGCACAGACTCTTCCATACTGGATCTATAACACCTGGAAAAGTATCTGAAACACTGTAGACATGTGACCTTATGTCTAGCGAATGAATGGATGAATAGTTGAAAGCACTGGATCCATATGTAGATGCACTTTATAGATTAATGTTACTTTGGAACCTGTCTGTTAGATAATTAGCTTTTGTTTTTTCAAGGAGAGAGACAGACAGCAGCCAATGACGCCCAAAATGCAAAAGTCTTGATACGGTATTGGGAGGAGGGTCACACGAAGACAAAGGTCTTGAACACGGGAGGCTCCAAGGAGAACACCATATGAGGATGAATGGGAGTCAAAAGCCAACTGTGCTTCCTTTATCATCTCGTCTCCAACTGCTAAAGACCAAGTCATGACTCCTATGCCATTATTTATAAAGCACAGACCTGGCATAGGTTACTAGCAATCATGGGATGCATCTGATTCTGAAGCTTAGTTACAGAAAAGTCAACCACAGCCCCGAGAGCCATCGACCACTGGGCTGACTTGCCCGGTGAGGCATGGTCTACATTCCTGTCGATTTTAAAGTTCTTCTGTTATTCTACACCAGTTTTAAATCTTCTTGCTTTATATTCTTGGTCATTTTCAAATTTAAAAGACTTTTTAAAGCTTGAAGATCCCTGCTTTTATCATATGTCCTATTCTTAAATTTTCTCCTGAATAATATTTGTTCATTTATAGAGCACAGTCTCCATGGCATGGACTGACAACATATAACTCTTAGCCTTTGCTGATAAAATTGCCACTTCCTTTTAATGTCTTTGTTTCTCTCCTTTTCTGCATTGGCTTTTTTTTTTTTCCACTCCAAAACCTTCCAGAAGCTATTTCTTTGTATTCCTGAATTCCTTTCTGTATACTCCCAATAAAGTTCTATGGTCTGTCTCTCATCAATCTGATGGACCACGGGAAATGAACCTAAGTCTCTACATATTTATAAGCAACACTATTTTCTTTATTCTGCATGTGTTCCTTTAAAATACCCATTTTAACATATACACATATTTAAAAATATATGTAAACAAGTATTTCCCATTGTAGATAGATACTTTTTAACCAGAGTTTTCCAGCTATATTTTAGTTAAGAAACGTAGTGCCCTTAGTTCAATATTAATTCCATGTACAAGTAGAAATAATATTCTCAAGGTAAAGTACTTAGTCAACTATTACACACAATGGTACATCCAGACCAAAGCAAGTCACACAAGGATGCAAAATGTAATCTTGCTCCAAACTGAGCTAGGGCTGAACAGAACAGTTTCTAACAAAACAGTTGACTACATAGCTGACCTAAATTACTGCGCTGTTTTTTCAATTGAATGTAGTAAGCCAAAACAAAAACAAAAACCAAAAACCAAAGGAAGAAAAACCCAACAACAAAATAATGAAGTGCTTTGTTTAGACTCTAATATTCAACATTGACCTTCCCCCTACAGTAGACACTTTGCCACATAGATGCACCAAAGGAAAAGGAGTCACTTTCATCAATATACACATTTTGTCAGTTATCACCTACTCCTTTGTAAATTGTTCTTTTCAAAAAATTTAGTGACTTTTATCCGGCACCTATACTCACCTCTGACCCACTAAGACACCCAGAATCCCAGACACACCCAAACATATCATCTAATCAACTACTGTGACAAAGTACTGTCACAATATTTTGGATTATTTGCATACCTGGTATTACTAAGGAGGTATTTCATTTGTCATTTGTACTTTGCCAATTAAAGTGAGTTAATCTGGGAACAGCTATTTATTGCCTGCAAACTACATTTCTGCAAGAACTGGAGTTAACCAGTATTAATACTGGGACATTCCAAGATGTGAGAGGAGCAAAAAATTCAGCTTTCAAGAACATTAATTAAAGTATTCATTCCCCCTCTCAGCTGAGGGATTCTCTTGAAGTCTTTTTCTTCTGTCTAACTGGTGAGTGAGCTTGCTAATGAACTGTGAAGTTCAAATACATTCTTAATTACCTATTTGTACAACTGACTACGGAAAAGAGTCTTTAAATGGAACTTTTAATGAAGACCTGTTTTGCATCTTTAACACGGAAGTGATTCTTACAGATACCACATTTTTAAAAGTCGCACCTGGCAGCCAGTCTAAACCAAGTTTAAAGGGCCCCCTGCATTAAGTAAAGCTGCAGTCGTAAAGCTGAGCTCACAGCACTCAGCTGATCAGGAGAAAAACATACCATATTTAATAAAATCCCAGATTCCTGTGGTCGGTGTCTGTAAAAACGCTTTGCCGTGTTGGATATGTGGTTTGCAAACGCAAGCAAGTCTTCCACAGTCCCATATCTGACCGAGGACAACCAAGGCCCATCCTGGTCACTGAGCAGTAGAGAATCTGAGCGCTCCTCGTTTTGATTACTGTCTTGACACATGGTCATTAGGCTGGGCTCATAAACTGCTGGCTCTTCACTCGTGTAAAGATTTTCCATAATGTCTATGACATCGGACACGTTCAAGTGTTTAATTAACAAATCGATCTCTTCTTTATTGTCACTCCCGGTGCTCATGTACTCCATCACTGTTAGGCTTTTTAGAGAGTCTGCAAAAGAAAACACAAATGCTTAGTGACTGTATTTGTATTTGCATCTAAGATCAATGGAAAACTGACATAAAAAGATTGGAAACAGGCTTCCATGTGGCTGTTTATGAAATGAGGGCTCTGTGTCAACAGGGTAAACTCAAGTGGACAGTGAAGAAAGGGACCTTAGATAACCTTTAGTCCCGCTGTTCACTTTACAGAGGGGAAACCTGAGATCCAGAGAGCTTACTCCTTACTCACTCACTCACTGGACTGGTGGCATCAGCTACGGCCGCTGAAAACGAACTTTCACCAAATACAAAAGGCTCCTGGCCCTTGACAAGAGGCCAACCCTCCCTGCACAGATCTCCGTGGCTTCCCAGCCTTGGGTGACTTTAAAGAAAAAGAACAGTTTTATCAAATTCAAGAGCTAACATGGCAAATAAAATTCAGGCCTTGGAGCCAAAAACATGTAAAGTGGATTCTAATGTAAGCAAATTGAGGACGATAGGTTAAGTTTCAGGAATAATTCTGATGCAAATGAGTTAAACAGCTTCTTTAGACTGGAGACCACAAGCTTCAAATCCTCCTACCAGCCGGAGTGTGAGAAAGGGAAACATTTCTTTTGGCCTGTGAATCAGCTGTCTCCTCTTGAGATCAGAATTCCTTAATAGTACAAAGCATGTATCTAAACGTCCCAAGAAAATTAATCTAATAATCTAACCTAATCTAGAGCTCACCCTCTAGAAGTTGTGGTGTTACATAGAGTCCTGGAAAGCCGAATCTATCCCAAGCAAGATGTGGGTAAGGCCAGCTAACTATTCTAGCCAATACCGTATTTCAGTTCTTATATGCAAATTGGGTGCCATAATTTGCATGTAAGATTTGCATATAATATAATTCCTACAGGCAAATCAGGATCCATAATGAGAAAGAGAAGGTAAATCAAAGGTAAAAAATGAGACTGTTCCCTGTGATTTTAGAAGAACTCCATGCCAGAGGATTAAAGGTAAAAGGATTTACTTGAGACATCTAAGAGAATTCAGAGGCATGATGTCTACTTGAACTACTGTGCTCCTGAAAGCACAGCCTCTCTGAAAGATGTTTCTGGTTCTTTTTTTTTTAAATATTTTTAAAATTTATTTATTTTGAGAGAGAGAAAGAGAGAGAGGAAGAGAGCACAAGTAGGGAAGGAGCAGAAAGAATAGGAGTAAGAGAGAATACCAAGAAGGCTCCTCACTGTCGGCGCAGAGCCAGATGCAGGGCTTGAACCCATGAACTATGAGATCATGACCTGAGCCAAAATCAAGACACGACTGACTGAGCCACCCAGGTGCTCCCATCTAACTAGAGCTCAAGCACAAAGCTCCAGAAAATGTTCTACCTCAGAGCCCACCTGCAACACAGGAACCTACCCTTGGCCTCTGAGTGAATTTCATCTGAGAAAAGAACCAGGCAATCTAGTGTCGCTATTCACTTACTCCACAGCCATTTTCCAATGCACAGGATGTGTCAGCGGAAAGCAATCACGCACCCTGCAGTCTGATACTCCATGCAGACTCAGACTGCTTGGGATGGACTCCCAGGGCCTCCTTCACTGCCTCACGACCTTGGGCAAGCACCTCTACTTCCCCTGTCTGTAAAACGGAAGAGTAACAGCACCTACCTCATAGGGCGGTTGTGCGGTTTAAAGTTCAGGTGTGTAAGGTGTCTGGTGCATGGTTAATAAGCTCTGTCATCTGTAGTTGCTGGTCGTGCATACAAGAGAGAAGTACTGAGTCAGATTCCGGGCTTTGCAGGTACTGCCTAGGCCTTTCTTATCTGCAAATGGGATGTGGCTACCTATCCCCAGGGCTTCTTCACAGCGAGGTTTTAATGGCTGTATCTAGAACAAGAGACAAAAAAAGGCAGAAACCTCTGAAATGCTTTGATAGCTGTTATCACCACAGTTACATCAAGAGATCTCCTCTCAGAGATCTCCCTATGTCTTTGAGGGAGACTGTGATTCAGGCTCTTAGAGTCTTGAGTTATGAAAGGAATTTCTTAGGTTAATGGAGGAACATTCTACTTTAATTTCATTGGGCCATTCAGTTGCAGTTTCTGCCTGTAGAATTTACTGAGAAAAGGAAGTTAAAGCAAAACCAGCCTGACCAAGGACCCGGCTGGCTTGAAAGTTCCAAGGCTCCTGGACTTAGCAAATGGCTGACTGGAGAGAAAATAAAGTTCCCAGTTGCAACGTGACTCAGGGAAGAAAGAAAAAAAAAGTCCACATGGTTTACAAGTCAGTCAGCTGATTCAGGGAGGAAAGACAGGTTTTGATTTTTAAACTGTGCAGAGAGTCAAGCATTTATATGTGAAGCCTAAGAGGTTGGAGCGCACTCAGAGGGAAGGAAGAGAGGAGGATCAGAGAAGAGAGAGGAGAAGAGGAGGGTAGGGGAGGCAGAAGAGACTGAGGCCAGGCATAATTCCTTGGTAACACAGCCTCCTCTCATGCAAACAGGGCACCCCAGCAACCCTGAGGGCCAGGCCGCCTGCTAAAGGCTCCGCAGTTTTAGGCCTTAATTAAGCAGACAACACGCTAATGATTTCTGAGTCCTATAGATCAGTACCCGTCTAGAAAAACCGTGGCTTGTGAAGGTCTTCTACTTTACCCATAAAGGCTCTTCCCCACCCAGGTTACAATAAAAATCCTCATTACACCCCCACTTGTCAACTGAATGGACAAATATAACAATCTTAGACATGGAGAAATGGGCAGATGGAGCCAAAAGTATCTGCTTTATTTCAGAAATCAGCAATAAAACCAAGAGGAAATCCTATCCTAAGCATTAACGTTACCCTCTTGGCTGCTTCTATTTATTAACATAAACAAAAGTTGAGAAATCCAAAGCAAGTGTGAATGAAAAACGACTAAGATTATAGGCATACGCCTCTGCCTAACTAAGGATAATTACACCTTGTGTTACTTCCCATTTAAAAGATTTTTCTGCCATTTTTCTGTACATTGCCCAGGACCCACCTCTTACTATATCTTTCTTCTCCAAAAGCCCCAGAAATACACATTCTAGCTGCACAGGAGGACAGCCTCTCTGGTTCAAAACCTCTGGATACCTCAACTATCCAATTTGCCTTATTAAAAAAGTCCTTAAGGGCCATCTGCCGAAAGTAAGGCATATAAACTTCAGTCAGTCAGAGAGTTGGGGGTGTCTGCGGGGTTCAGATTATAGTCCACTTGGAAAATACGTGAGACTCAGGCTACAGATGCCTAATGCAACCGTAGTAGTGTTTCTTTCCCTGTTTTTATTAGGAGCCCTTCTTTATTCTGTGCCAAAATGTCTTCCCAAAAGTGAAATAGGCGTTTCTTTTAAAGACACCGCCTGGCCTTCCTTGTCAACTTTTGGGACAATCCCTCTGCACGTCGTTCTTCTTTCTAAGCGTCGTTCTCCGCCCAGACACAGGAGAATTTCAGAGCCCTGATATCGCATTAGCAGCGGGAAACATCCGTGATGTAACCTTTTTTTTTTTTTTGCCCCTAGCATGCTCTTAGACCAAAAGCCCAGCATTCATGTTCTGCTATCACGACCCTTTAGTCGCAGAATAGTGTCCGGGTTACAAAAGCATGAAATTAAGTTCCAGCGATTCAAAAAGTTGTCAGCTCCGCCAGCCACCACCCAGTCTCGCCTCCAATTCTTCAAAGCCCGGGAAGCCTACCAGGACTTGTACATGACAAAAGCCCCCACGATTTGGGCGGGCGGCTGCCGGGTCTCCAGCCTCCGAGGAACACTCGCCGGGGTCGGCGAGGAGAGTGCAGCAGGCCGGGCGGCGCACGCGGCGGGAGGCGCGGTGACAGCGGGTGTCGGCGTCCCCGCGCACTGCCGGGACCGACCCCGCTCTCGCGCTAGGGATCCGGGAAGGAGGAGGAAGGGGGAGGAGTCGGAGTCTGCACCCCGTGAGACCCTTGCGCAAGGTGCTTTCCAGCGGTGCTGGCTGCAGCCGCGACGCGCGCGAACCGCGGAAGCGCAGCAGCGCGGGCGGCGGGCGCGCCCCCACCTCCCAGAGCCCCGCAGTTTGCCCCTCCGCTTCGGGGTGCGAGCCGTCGGGGCACCCAGGAGGGCCGCGACCACAAGGACCCCCCAGAAGCCCCCGAACGCAGGGTTACCTGTTGGGCGGAGCGCTGCAGCTGCGGCCCGGACGGCTCGGCGCGCCGCCGGTGGCCGGCCCTCCGGAGTCGGGCGCGCGGGGTCAGCGAGGTCCGGCGGCAGCAGATGCAGGAGCCAGGGCGACGGGCCCCAGAGCGTGGCGCGTCGTCCGGATCCGGGCGCACCACTGAGCGCGGCGCCGCCAGCCCAGGCCGCCCTCGTCGGTCCCTGACTCACGGCGTCTGAGCCGGCCGAGGGGCGGCGCAGCGGACGCCAGCCGCCGCCTCCCCGCCTTTTCCATTTCCCCTTTCACTCCGTAAACAGAAAGAGGCTGCAACGTTGCGGGGAAGCCGGAGCCCCCGCTCTGGGAAATTCCGTCCCCCCCCCCCACGTTTGTCCTCGGGGCGCCCGGGCGGAGCGGAAGGCGGGACGAGGGAGGAGCGGAGCGCCGCTCTGGGAGGGGCGCTGGCGGAGCGCTGGAGTCGGGACTTGGTACGCCACCTGGGGAGCTGCCCCCCCCCACCCCCCCGAGGACTGTAACCTCGGCTCCCGGCTGTGGCCTGGGACACCTACGGATTTTCCCTCGGGGCTGGGGACCCGACCACAGGTTGCGTAAGGTGCCCCGCGACCGTGTCACTGCATCCTTTCCTAGTCCTGGACAGAAGATCGTATTTCCTAGCGTGCTCGCGCCGTCTGCGCTACCCCGGAGCCCCAGGGGTAGCGGCCCTTCCCTGCGCCCACTCCCACGTTTCGGGAGGACAGAGGCGAGGTGACCTTCTGGACTTTTTTTTTCTCTCTCTCAGAACCGGGTCCGTTCGGGGCGCCCGGGTGGCTTAGTCGGTTAAGCGTCCGACTTCGGCTCAGGTCCTGATCTCGCGGTTCGTGGGTTCGAGCCCCGCGTCGGGCTCTGTGCTGACTGCCAGCTCAGAGCCTGGAGCCTGTTTCAGAGTCTGTCACTCCCTCTCTCTCTGACCTTCCCCTGCTCATGCTGTCTCTCTCTCTCTCCTAGAAATAAATAAATAAAACATTAAAAAAAAAAAAAAACCGGGTCCGTTCACCCGATTGCGGGTAGCGCTGCATGCCTGGCTAGGTTTCGGTTCATGTCCACATATACTGAGTGCCGTGATCCGTAGTCGGCACCCAAGGCCTCCGGTTTAAAGGTTTGGGAGAGGTTGCCGCAAGGCGGGTGAGAACCTGGCGCTGGAGCCCCTGGAGAGCGGCCTGTGTACTCCGCCAGCGAAACCTGGTCTTGTTCCCTGCACTCCTGGAACTGGTTATTTGGTGGCACCTTCCCATTAGGAAATGTACCTGTACTGATCTCCCCTCCTAACCCCGGCTGCAAGTCTGGGGTTTTCTGTACAGCTTGGAAAGATCAAAGGTTGTTTATAGTATTCTTCCTTCTTGAGTGGAAAGCGTGTCCTCCAGGTGAAGCAGGAAGCGAGTTTTAGGGAAAATCGCGCCTCTGTCCACGAAATCCACTCTGCCGGACTTCCCCAATACCTGGGTAGCAACTCACCACCCCCCCGCCCCTCAATACTTCTCTGGTATCAAGCACCTGCTATACGCCAGATATTTCGCAAGACAGCCCAGGGAAAGAGAGGGAATGTTAGGTGGACTTTCTCTCGGTCTTACCGACCTGGACGTCGAGGGTCCCGGGCATAGCCCAGATTCAAACGCCCCTCGACTCTGAGTCCACGCCCGGTCCTCTCCAGTACCCAACACTCATTCGACCCCCACGGTTTCAAAACTGCATCCGACCCGCTCTAGAGCTTCCCACGTTTCTTCTGTGGAAAATGAGTTACTGTTCCGGTCCAAAGAAGTCGTGTGAAAGTTGCTGATAGACCTAGGCCAGCTTAAGTGGGAAGCACGCTCCTCGTTGAAGGTCCTTAACTCCTAACAGTCTCTTTGTGCTTCCGGTCAGGCAGGGACGAGGCTGATAAAGTGATTGACAAGTAGCTGAGCCCATCAGTAAAAATGAGCCCAGCTAGCAAATCAAACGGGCCAGATGGATTGACTGACTCGTCACTAACCCCCCTACCCCCATTATTTTAGCGACTGCAGGTCTGTGACATGAATGATGCAGGATGTGTGTGAACCTCTGGAACTTTCCAGGTGGTCCCTAGCAGCGAAGGGGGTCCGTAGCGCCGGAAGGAGAAGCCCTTCTGGGCGATTGGGCTTTTCTGCTTTTGGAGGGAGGGACCAGCTTCCCTGCTGTGACTCGGGAGAGACAACGTGTGCAGAAACCGAAGTATAAACTGCTCTAGCTTTTTCTCTGGGAACGGTTCGCGCGATTATTATCTCCAATAGTAACGTGAGAGATGTCTCTCCCTCCTCTGTTGTCTTTGAGCAATAAGGGATGATCTTTATAAGCATTTTAAAAATAGAAACATGGAACCACTCCCGCTTCCACCCCCCCCTTGAATGAGCTCATTAAAACCACACCTCATCTTCTGGGAACTAAGTATTAGCCTTACTTCCTACAAAGAGGTCTCCCAAAGACAGCTAGTGAGCCGTGAAATGGCTGCTCCAGCAGGGTTCTGATTGGCTGTTAATGCCTTATAGTAAATTTCGTCTGGTGGGGTGAATTGAGAGGAAGTTTTCCATAAAAACGTCTTTTTTTTTTTTTTTTAAAGTCTAACAAAGATTGGATCTGGTGTCCTGGAAGAGACTGAAGAAAGAGAGCAATGAAAGAAAAAGTTTGCAGAATCCTTGCATTTTACTTGGTCAGGACTTTGTTACACAAGCTTGCAAAAGCAATCCTGCTTTTTTAGGAGCTTGCTAGCCAAGGGAGGTTTAAACCTGCCAAGGAGAAACCACTTGACCCAGCGTGTGCACAACCCATACGAGAGTTACCCAAGAAGCCATCATGAAGTTCATTACAAAACAGATCTTTTCCGCAGCCAACAAAATGCACTGTAAGATTGAGTTGCAACCTGTTACTAAAACTTGAGGCTTTCTCTACTTACAGGTCAGGACAATAATGGGTTTGTAATCTGTAGTTTGCAAATCAGAACTCATTCACTCATGGAAAGAAAATGATTACCTATGGGTAGATCAGCAGTCAGAGCATCGACCTTATGTAACTCCAATGGGGCTCTATACTAATAAACAGAATATAGGACACTGCCTTCTAATGTTTTTCATATTCATAAAGTATAATGATTAGAGAATACTGAAATAAACTGGAATAAGTTGGGGGATACCTATAGATCACTTGGTGGAAAATGTGTTTCATTTTCTTATAATAACAGTAAAATACAAAGTATTTGAAGATGATAATTAGTGAATTTGAATAAAGCTTTAAGATTTTTTTTTACATTTTTTAAATGTTGATTTATTTTTTAGAGAGAGAGAGAGAGAATGGGGAAGGGTCAGAGAAAGAGGGAGACACAGAATTTGAAGTAGGCTCCAGGCTCTGAGCTATCAGCTCAAACTCACGAACCTCGAGATCATGACCTGAACCGAAGTCGGATGCTTAACCGACTGAGTCACCCAGGTGACCCTAAAAAGATATTTTTAAAGTTGGGAGGAACTTGAGGCTGATTTTATGAGCATAACTTTTTTCTATAGTTGTTGTAACAACTATCCATATTTACCATTTAAGATCTTTGAATAATGATCTGTTATCATTGAATAATGATCAAACTTCTGACACTAAACTTCAGATGAGACCCTGTACAGAAGACACGTGGGTAACAAATTTAGAATCATAATCCTTATTTAAAAAACTTTTTTTGGTTTCATTTATTTCTGAGACAGAGAGAGACAGAGCACAAGTGGGGTAGGGGCAGAGAGAGAGAGGAAGACACAGAATCTGAAACAGGCTCCAGGTTCTGAGCTGTCAGCACAGAGTCCGATGCGAGACTCAAACCCATGAACTGGGAGATCATGACCTGAGCCAAAGTTGGACGCTTAACCAACTGAGCCACCCAGGTGCCCCTAGAATCATTATAGTCTTTAATAAATTTCTTTATTTATTTATTTATTTTGAGAGAGAGAGAGTGCAAGTAGGGGAGGGGCAGAGAAAGAAGGAACGAGAGAGAATCCCAAGTAGGCTCCCTGTCAATGTGTAGCCCGATGTGGGGCTCAAACCCATGAACTGTTGACATCATGACCCGAGCTGAAATCAAGAGTTGGACGCTTAACCAACTGAGCCACCTAGGCGCCCTGACCTTTAATTTTTTTTTTTTAAGTTGAAATGGTGTTTTAAAAACCCAATAGCTCTTTTTCTTTCATGGCCATATGTAAGTTTCTTATGATAAGTACGTGGGTTTCAATTATAATCGGGTTTTTTCATATTAAGCGTTTCAAAATGATGCTTTAATCTGCAGAACATGCATGCCCTGGGGAAGCAGTTTGCTTGGACAACGCTCAAGGGACACATGAGCCTAAAGGATGAAGTGTCCACTAGAGAAGGGGAGTGAGGGCTGACTCCCCTGCTCAGCCCTCCCTCATGCCCTACCCCCACTGCTACCTGCTCCGTGGCTTTTGGCCATGTTCCTTGGGTTCCTGAAACAAACCCTTTCTTCCATCACGGCCCGGGGCACTGCGGCTGCTGGCTGGTGGACCCGCTTGGCCTCACTCACCCTCTGAAGGTGGATTAGGGATGCCCCTTAGACCTGTAGAGACCGCATGGTGATTAAATTCTGCTTTCCCCGGAGCGGCACCCATCCCAGATGAGATCGCAGACAACAGGCCCTGGAGCTCCCGGCCCCACCTGCTTGCCTTAAGAAATAAGGTGTGAGCGGGGCACCTGGGTGGTTCAGTCGGTTGGGCTGCAGACTTCTCAGGTCACGATCTCACAGTTCATGGGTTCGAGCCCCGTGTCGGGCTCTGTGCTGACAGCTAGCTCAGAGCCTGGACCCTGCTTCAGATTCTGTGTCTCCCTCTCTCTCTGACCCACCTCTGCTCACGCTGTCTCTCTCTCTTTCTCTCTCTCAGAAATAAATAAAGAATTAAAAAAAATAAAAAAAAAAAAAGAAAGAAGGTGTGACATCTATACTGCGTTCACCGCACATCCGTGTGCAGAGCTCTGCTCTCAGCCCCTGCAGCCCTCTCCCCTTCTCCCTGGGACTCTTGGCGGGGGGAGTACAGCCAAGGATGAAAGGGCCAGCTTCTCTGCCCTCCTTCTTTTTGCCTTCTTCTCACCTTTTGGAATACTGTAGTCATCAACTTTTGTCAGCACTGT